CCTAGCATCCACATGACAGCTAATAACCACCTATAATGAATAACTCCAGTTTCAGGGAACCCAATGTCCTCTTCTGCCTCCTCATGGATGTGGTACTCAGACATACATGCAGACAAAACAGCCATTCTAATAAAATGAGAATAAATAAATCTAAAAATAATAATTAAAAAAGATTTAACTGAGCTGGGTGTGATGTTACATACCTGCCATTCCAGCTTTCAGGATGCTGGGGTAGTATGATGACAAGTTCTAGGCTAGCCTGGGCTACATGTCAAGACCTTGTCTCAAAACAAATACAATCAAAATCCCATTATTATTAGGTTGGTGGGGTGTCACACAATCTCAGCACTCAGAAGTGTGAAGCAAGAGGATTGTGAGTTCCAGTATAGCCTAGGCCATTTAATGGTATCCTGTTTAGAAAAGAAAGAGAGAGAGGGAGAGACAGACACACACACACAGAGAGAGAGAGAGAAGGAAAAAGTTTGGGAAATGGGTCACGTCTCCTTGATAGATGTGGTCTTTATAGAATATTTTTATCAGGGAGGGTTTCATTGCCTGTCCATGGGCAGATAAACAATCCCACTGTGTGAGATTCATAAAAAAAATAAAATAAAATAAAACTGGGAGTGATGGCTGGGGACAGATCTTGTTAGTTTTTTATCTCTAAAGAAAAGAGAAAAGAAGAATAAGTTTGGGAGGCCAAGGAAAGGAGGCCATGCGGGAGTCAAGGAGGGTGGGCAGGTCTCACGCTGTGAGGTCGCTGTTGGTCGCTGAGGTCTCTCACTGTCTTTATCTTGACTATATTTGAGAATAACCGAGAGCCCATTAAGTGGGGCATCGCCTTGCTTGACTCCTCTGCGTGAGGGGACCTTTTGAAGAATCCTTTTCTCCTGAGCCTTCTCAGCATGTGAGGCCATTTTTGAACTGTATATTGGAGAATTAGGGCTCACGAGTCCTGCTTTTTTGAGCTTTTCCTTTCTTTTCTTCTTCTTCCGTTTCTTTCTTTCTTTTTCTTCTTCTTCTTTTTTTTGTAGAGTTCCTTGTAAGTTTTTAAAAGAAAATCTCTTATTATAAATGGGTCACTATTCAGCCTTCAGCCAGAGGGCTAGAACTGTTCCCATTTTGTGGGCATAAAGAGATTGTATCTGGGTCCCAGTGTCCTTGAATTCTTAGGCAGTTGTCTTCACAACCCTGGCTACCCACCAGTGAACCCAAAGGGGACCTGTACAAGAGAGTGAGGCAGGAGGATGGAAACCAGTGTCGGATGAGGGTTATTTTCTTCCTTCTTTTACATTTGTTCTCTCTCTCTCTCTCTCTCTCTCTCTCTCTCTCTCTCTCTCTCTGTGTGTGTGTGTGTGTGTGTGTGTGTGTGTGCATGAGTGCAGATATGCACATGCCATAGTTCACATATGGAGGTCAGAAGATGATATATGGCACTAATCAGTTTTCTCTCTACCATGTCAGTCCTAGGAATGGAACTCACATCTCCAAGCTTGGCAGTGAATGCCTTTACCCACTCAGTCATGTTGCCTGCCCTCAGCTGAAGTTTGGGCAGCAATTTCAGTATAGAACTATCTTGTTTGAATCTCTATGCTAAGCTAACCTAGGGGTGTCGATGCTTTTCCCCTTTGTTCTTTTAATTTTGTCATTTTTTCTGTTGTGAGCTGAGGATTGAGCCAAGTCCCCAGCCCTTCACTGGCCAATTCTATCCAGCCTAGAGAACTCTTGCCCTGAATGCTGGAAGCTCTGATTTGGAATCCCAGCCCTGCACACACACACACCAGAAATAAAATAAACCCCCAATGCCCAAACTGGAGGCAGAGAGGAGAGAGAGAGGGAGAGAGAGACTTTTTAGGAAGGTCTTTAAAAGTGGCTACAGAGCCTGGCTGTGGTGGCACATGCCTTTAAACTTGGGAGGCAAAGGCAGGAGGATCTCAGGAGTTTGAGGCCAGCCTTGTCTACAGGACAGTCAGGACAATTACACCAAGAAACCCTGTCTCGAAAGACCGATAGATAGATAGGTAGGGAGGTAGATAGATAGATAGATAGATAGATAGATAGATAGATAGATAGGTAGGTAGGGAGGTAGATAGATAGGTAGGTAGGTAGATAGATAGATAGGTAGATAGACAGACAGACAGACAGACAGACAGACAGACAGATAGAAGTGGCTGCAGAGAGTGTATAATATACAAAGGGGCCTCGGTTCCTGGGAACCTGATGTCTAAACGGGGCTGGGCACAGGAATGGAAGCATTGTTATAGGACTGGATGGCCCAACCTAATTTGGGTCACGTTGAAAGTTATCCCACTGGCTGGCTTTGCCAGGCCATCCCAGAAGGAAGTGCCTGATCTGGGGCTGGAAATGGAGAGCAGGGGTAGAAGGGGGTAGGTGGGGAGTCCATGATGGAAAGACGTGACAGGAATAGCCTGGAGAATCCGGAGACGACAGCGATTAGACCCTCGGGTGTGGGTGGGAAGTGTTTGCTGGATCTGGATCTCTGTCTCTACTCCCCCTCTTTCTCCCTTTCTCCCCACCCCTTTCTTCTTCTTCCTCCTCGTTTTCACATACCCCAGGCTGATCTTGAACTCACTACATAGCAGAGAATGACTTTGAACTCCCGATCTTCCTGCCTCTACCTCCCAAATGCTGGGCTCACATGCGTGCACCACCAAGCCTGGCTCTCCTGCTTTTGAGACACAATCTCACTATCAAGCTCATTGTGGTGTCCAGCTCCGAACCTTCAACAAGTGCTGGGGTTACAGGCATGTCCCGCCCACCCTCCTCTTCCTCCCTCCCCTCCCCTCCCTTCCTCTCTTCTTTCCTTCCTCTTTCAATTAAATTCCCCCTCCATTCTTACCAGGGCTGTCTCTTTATATAACCTTGGCCAGCCTGGAATTTGCTGCATAGACCAGACTGGCTTCAAACTCACAGAGATCTGCCTGCCTCTGCTTCTCAAGTGCTGGGATTAAAGGTGTGCACCACCAAACCCAGCTTACCTCTTCTTCTCCTCACACCCCTCTGTCTTTCTTCTCCTCCTCCTTTTTCTTTTTCCATCCTTCTGCTTTTCTGGAGACAAGGTCTCACTTAGCCCAAGTTGGCTACAAATTCACTATATAGCCTAAGATGATCCTGAATTTCTGAAATCCTCCTGCCTCCACCTCCTAAGCATTGGAATTACAAGAAACCTAGAGTTTCGTGCATGCTGGGCAAGTATTAACCAAGCCATATCCCTTTCCCCCATTTTAAAGATGGCTTCTGGGGGAGAATCAACCCCTGCCTAACTTGTCCTTAAGGCAGGACACATAGCTGTGGTGACTTTCTCATGGTTTTCCCCATGGATTGTGTGATGTGTGGTTCACCAACGTCCCTAACACTGGGGAGGGGTCTGTTATGTTTTTTTTTGTTGTTGTTGTTGTTGTTATCAATTCCAGTTTATACCTGAGGCTGAGCTAGCTTAGAACTGGAGATCTTCCTGCCTCCCCTCCCAAGTGCTAGACTACAGGCTTGTGATTAGGAATGGCCTGTTTTCATTTACATTTGTGTGTGTGTGTGTGTGTGTGTGTGTGCTCAGCATGCGTACGTCGAAACCAGAGGATAATTTGTACGAGTCAGTTCTTCTGCCCTGTGGGTTCTGGGAATTGAACTCAGGTCTTTAGGCTTGTCAGCAACTGCTTTTACCATTTGAGCCATCTCACCTTTATCTCATTATCGGTGAGTGTGGGTGCGTGTGCCGTGTTTTGTGTGTGGAGGTCAGAGGACAGCTTTCGGGGGTCAGTTCTCCTCTCCTATCACGTGGGATCCAGGGTTTGAACTCAGGTCATCGGTCTTGTGTGGCAAGTGTTTTACGCCCACTGAGCCATTTAGCCAGCCCCCAGTATGTCTTTGACTCCTTGTGTTGAGTAAAACAGAGAAGGCAAAAAGCAAGCAATCTTGTTTGCATATTATTTGCTTTTATTGTTTTTAAAGACATATTCACTTGTTTATATATCAAAAGTGAAAAAAAAAAAGCATGTTACCAACAAAATTCAAGAACATTTGACCCCACTTTTGGGGCCTCTGTGGGTACATGGTGTATGGCTATCCAGTGCATAATGAATAGAGGAAGAAGAGAGGGGGAGAGGAGGAGAGAGAGAGAGAGAGAGAGAGAGAGAGAGAGAGAGAGAGAGAGAGAAACAAAACCTCAAAGAATGAGTTTTGTTCTTTTTTCCTTCCGGTGGAGACATAATGGATGCAGAGTGGCCTGCTTTGAGATTACATTCACACTACTTTCTTGTGCAATTTTTTAGCAAATTGGTTTTCTGATCACACCCTGGCTAAGGAGGCTTTCAAAAATGATTATCTAACTAAGGTGGTTGACCGGGAGCTGGCTGTCTCTTTCACCCCCCCCCCCACGTGTCCACTGCTCACATACAGCAGCCGGAAATGACACATTGAAGTGAGTCACCAGTGCAGCTCTGAGTCACCCAGTAATTGGAGAAAGTTCTGTCCTGTTAGGTCACGCAGCCCTATTGCCATTCTGCTCTTGAATGCATTGGAAAAATTTGAAACCACTTAGCCCTCCCTCAAATCTCTCTCTTCCACCCAATCTTTTTTCTTCTTCTTCCTTTAACGTGGGCTGCCAAGCATCACCTTGGCAAGGTCCCTAAGGGAAAAGAGCTACAGGGGGAGGGAGCTGGAGGGGGAACTGAGAGGGGGAGTATTGGGGTAAGGGTGTGTTAGGCTGCCACTAGGCGGCAGTGTGAGCCCCTGTCACTGGGGCCACCTGGAGGGGCAAGCTTGTGGAGTGCTGTACCCCCCCCCCCCAGATACAGGGATGTAGACCCCAAATGGGACACCACGTGTCATGATTTAAATAAAATGCTTTTTCCTTAACAGTATTTTTTTTCTCTCCAACATGCATACAAGAGGAAGAATGTGATAAATATTCAAGCACACCCCTGGCTTCTCCCCTGCACCCTAACAGAGAGATTGGGGATGAAGAGCCAGGCACACACACATCTGACCTTTCTTTCACTGTTCCCAAAAGAAAAAAGTTTGTGGGTGGAAAAAAGCTATGTAAACAAGTCACCTACACTCTGAAATAACCTGTGCATGCGGTGCCAGGGGAGGGTACAAAAGGAGCTGGGAGAAGGCTCAGTACTGGGCAAACACTGATCTGTCCATCTGCTGCCCCTGGGAGCTGGGCAAGGTCATCATTTCCACAGTGTACCAGTGTTTCTTCCTTTAGCCTGTGGCCACCCACCCCAGCAACAGCAGATGGTGCAGGAGGTGGCCCCAGTGTGACTGGACACAGCTGAATTTTTGCCCAAGGATGCTGAGTAAAAGCCTTGTGGCCCCACCCTGCTGGTGGGGCCCATGTCCAAAGGCCGATTATTAGAAAGATGAGCAGATGAAGGCTCTGTGAGTTCTACAGTCTGGATTAGAGATCTTGGTGGAACAGGGGAGTCTAACTCTGATGAGGGAGTTAGACTCTTTTCCCTTCGAGAATCTGAGGTCTAGGAGGCTGGTTGGAAGATTTACCACTGTGGGAGTGAAGGGAAATGCCTTCTCCTCCAGAAAGAGTACTTGAAGTAAGTCTTTTCCTCAGAGTTTCTGCTTATAACAGGTCCAGTTTTGTCCAGAGTCAAGGTCTCTCTTCCCTGTCAAGGCTCCATCAATTGGCCCATGAACAGGATTGTCTCTGTGGGTACAAGAATCATGCCAGGTGGGAATCTAAGGAGGTGACTAAGTTAGGACTGGGGTCTTTGGCACTGTGTGGGCTATGACAGGGTGCTGGAATGGGATGGAACTGAGTTCCAGAATCTTTGCTGAGTCCCTAGAGGCTCAAGCGACATCTACGTGGTGGGCAGGCACATAATGACTTTTAAGAGTGAGCAGGAGGAGAGGAGCTTGTGATGGGGCTCTGCTTACCTGTTGGATTGTGCCGAACTACAAAGAGGAAGGGTCGGTCCATAACCACCTCCTGAGGGGCCATGCGGGCCGAGACTAGAATGGCTGAAAGAGAAGGGGCAGTGTGTTAGGGCTGGGCATGTTGTCATTGGTGTGATCCCTAGAGATCCAATGACACCAGTCTATCTGGTGACAGCACTGAGAGATAGATGATTGTCAGGTGCTTTAAAAGAAACTAGTAGTAGGTATGAAACTCAGAGCCTGGGGCATGCTAGGGCAAGAGTTCTACAGCTGAGCCACACTCCCCCCTCACTGGGGGATTCTAGGCAGGAGCTCTACCACAGAGCCACACCCCAGCCCCTCACCGGGGGATTCTAGGCAGGTGCTCTACCACAGAGCCACACCCCAGCCCCTCACCGGGGGATTCTAGGCAGGTGCTCTACCACTGAGCCACACCCCAGCCCCTCACTGGGGGATTCTAGGCAGGTGCTCTAACACTGAACCACACCCCAGCCCCTCACTGGGGGATTCTAGGCAGGAGCTCTACCACTGAACCACACCCCAGCCCCTCACTGGGGGATTCTAGGCAGGTGCTCTACCACTGAGTCACACCCCAGCCCCTCACTGGGGGATTCTAGGCAGGTGCTCTAACACTGAACCACACCCCAGCCCCTCACTGGGGGATTCTAGGCAGGAGCTCTACCACTGAGCCACACCCCAGCCCCTCACTGGGGGATTCTAGGCAGGTGCTCTACCACTGAGTCACACCCCAGCCCCTCACTGGGGGATTCTAGGCAGGTGCTCTAACACTGAACCACACCCCAGCCCCTCACTGGGGGATTCTAGGCAGGTGCTCTAACACTGAGCCACACCCCAGCCCCTCACTGGGGGATTCTAGGCAGGTGCTCTACCACTGAGTCACACCCCAGCCCCTCACTGGGGGATTCTAGGCAGGTGCTCTAACACTGAACCACACCCCAGCCCCTCACTGGGGGATTCTAGGCAGGTGCTCTACCACAGAGCCACACCCCAGCCCCTCACTGGGGGATTCTAGTCAGGAGCTCTACCAATGAGCCACACCCCAGCCCCTCACTGGGGGATTCTAGGCAGGTGCTCCACCAATGAGCCACACCCCAGCCCCTCACTGGGGGATTCTAGGCAGGTGCTCTACCACAGAGCCACACCCCAGCCCCTCACCGGGGGATTCTAGGCAGGTGCTCTACCAATGAGCCGCACCCTAGCCCCTCACTGGGGGATTCTAGGCTTGTGTTCTACCAATGAGCCACACCCCAGCCCCTCACTGGGGGATTCTAGGCAGGTGCTCTACCACTGAGTCACACCCCAGCCCCTCACTGGGGGATTCTAGGCAGGTGCTCTACCGTCAAGCTACATTTCCTATCCTTGGTTTTTCAGGATAGGCTCTTCCTTCTTTGAACTTTCATCCTTCTGCCTCCGCCTCCCAAGGCATGTGCCATACTATCTGGCTTCGGGTTGTTTCTTTGTTCTCTGATTATTGCCCTTAAAAGTTTCAAGACTTCCTCTGGGCCCCAGTTTCCCATAGGATTTGGTCAAGATCTATCTATCACAAACATGTTTCCGGCTTACTGCTAAGCAAATCCTTTAAGTTCACTTTCCACTATGGCAGCAACTCAGGTTCTCCTTTGGGGTCCTCCTCACACCCTGGGACCTGAGGAGCCATAGACGAGGCAGCAGGGTCCCAGGGGAAGTGGATCCACTTTTCACACCAAGGAACAGGTTTGGGGAAGGGTGGTGACTGTGCTTGCTCTAGATTTCCTGTAGGGTGATTGCCACCCTGGATGGTGGGGTGACACTGGCCGAGCTACACTCACCTGTGGAGGAAGACGCCACTGTACCACTCTCGTTCACCTCGATCTTGACTTTTTGCAGGGCCTGAGCTACAGAGAGCTGCTCTTGGTCTGAAACAGAGTGGGGGGCATAAAGGACAGATTATCCAACACCCTATCCTCTCAGGGGGACCTGACCCATGGAAGCGATGAAGTGAGAGGGATCATATCTCACCAGAAAGACTTGTGAAGTCGGCCTCGGCTGGGCTAAACATGTCAGTCATGCCCAGATTTTCCAGGGGCCTTCTGAGGTCCACTTCAGTTTCCAGAGAGAACCTGTGGACAGACGTGGGGAACAGCATTCAAGTACTGCTTCTCCCAGGACCTACTGAGTATCCTCTGGGGCAGTGGGACAGGGTAGAAACTGACAGGAACATGAAGAAAAGAGGTCTGGCTTTTGTTTGCCTTGATGTAGGATCTCATGTAGCACAGGCTGGCTCCAAACCCATTATGTAGCCAAAGATGATCTCAAGATCATCTCAAATTCAAACTCCTGATCCCCCTGCTTCTGCTTCCTGCGTGCTGGGATTTATAGGTGTGCACCACCACGCCTGGTTCATGTAGTGCTGGGTTTCAAACCCAGGGCTTCAAACAAGTTGGGCAAGCATTCCACCAACTCAACTACTTCCCCAGCCCTGACCTTGAACTTCTGATCCTCCTACCTCCACCTCCCTAGGATGGGATTAGAAGTCTTTGGAATCTCATTTGGCTAGGTACAGGGGGCCTGGTCCTTTTTTCTCCTTGCCAGAAACTTCTAATATTAATGAACATTGTTCAGTCTTTCCACCCCCTCAAATCTGTGACTAATGGCTTTCCCCAAATAAGACAGTAGTTTGAACATAATTGTAATTCGTTTGACTGCAGGAGAGGGACAGGTTCACATTCTCCTGCGAGGGTGCTGGAGGTAACTGTGGTCTGCAGGCTGTTTTTGAACAGCTCACACAGGAAGACTTTGGAGGGCCCTCCTTCTGCTTCTCAGCAGGGCTTGACTCATTATCTCCATCTTGATGGGAGAGAAAGGCAGGCAAAGTTCAGTAGCTAAAGCAACCCAGTTCCCCCCTTCTCCAAGCTTGGCAACAGAGCATCTGGGAGTTTAGGGGAAACCTAAGATGGGAGCTTCCCTGTAATTCTAGAATTACCCAGACAAGCCAACTTCACCCCTTCTGATTCTGCAGAAGGATTAAGGGAAAAGAAAAAAAAAAATCTGTTTTTTTTTTTTTTTTTTTTTTTGAGAGGAGGGGGTCTCAGTCAGAAGCTATGGCTGTTCCTCTGCCTGCCTGATCTTGGAGTCAATTATTATTGGGTGAGGGAAGGAGGTGGGAGACATTTACAAATGGATATAGAATGATTGAGAGACCCCCACATACTTATTTCTCTAGCTGCTCTTTTGGCTGGTCTTTTCTTTTAGACGGGGTCTCATATAATCCAGGAACAGAGGGAGGATGGCCTTGAATCCCTGATCCTCTTTGCAGCCCCCTTGTGCTGGGATTATAGGTGTGCATCCCCATGCCTGCCTTATTCAGTGCTGGGGATCCAATCTAGGGCTTCAAGCATGTGAAGTAAGTACCCTGCTAACTGAGCTAGGTCTCTACCCCTTTCCCTGCACCCTCTCCCTTTATAAGATAGGGTCTTGCTGCATATAGCCCAGGCTGGCCTTATCCTCCTGTGCTAGCCTTTCAAGTGTTAGGAGTACAAGTTTGTGCCTCCATGCCTATGGTCTATGTAATATTGGGTTCAAACCTGGGGCTTCATGCTTGGTAGGCAAGCACTCTACAAACTAAGCTATGTCTTCAGCAATCTTGCCTCCCTAGCCAAGGCTGGACTTGAACTCACTATCCTGTCTCAGTCTCTCAAGCACTGGGGCTACAGGTTCGTGCCACTATGCTCTACTTTGATCATTGGGTATTTGGTGCATGGTCTATGCAGGGATGGATTTTACAAAATCTATCTCCTCTTCAACGGAAGAAACTTTCTCCAAGCACCATGATGGAATAAGAAACCATAATCAAACCCAGCCTAGAAGGTTTCCCATCAGCCTCCCACGTATGTCTCTTCCTTGTAGGCATTTGCCATCTGGGAAACTCCACATGGCCCAAGTGGCTTTAGGAGAGATGGCAGACGTTGGGATTAGGTTGTTGGCAAATGGGATGGCTTACTTGGGCAGGACGAGGAGTCGGAGAAGTCTGGTCATGTTCCCTTTCCATTGTCGGATGAGTCCAGCATCCAAAATGTTGGTGAGGGCAGAGAGAGGTACTTCCTTTTCGATGGGCGCTGCGATGAACATGCTGAGGGTTTCCCCATCATAGGGCAGTTCCAGGATGTCATAGTAGTGGCCATCAGGAGTAGTGAATTCAGCTGGGGAGATACCAAGATGGCATCTTGGAAATGGCTCCAGCTCACATGGATTCCTTCCTAGCTTTCCTCCAGCTTCTCTCCTTCTAGAAGGCCAAGCTCTCTAGTCTAGTTTTGGAAGTCCTTTACCCACTGTACTCCCTTCTGAATGTTCCTCCCTCCCTTTTTTTTGAACCAACTATATAGCCAAGGATGGCCTTGAACTTATTCTCCACCACACCCGGCTTATGAGCTGAGCATGCAAGCCAGAGCTTTACTGATGCCGGATGAACATTCTCCCTAAGCTACATCCCCACCCTTCCTATCTATTTTCTCCTTCTTGACCTTCACTATTTTCTGTCTGACCCCAGCCACTAATTATTCCCATCCTCATCCTCTAAATCTCAACTTCCATACAGATTTCCCCTTACTGGGGTTGTTGACCCGGTAAACCACTTAAGAGGAGAGATGGGCTCAACAGCTGGGCAGATGTGGATCAGGGAGACTATCTCCATTTCCGGTTCACCTAGCATGAAAGAAACTGATATTTCTCCCCATCCTTGAATTATCTTAGCATCTCCTGCTTGAGAAGTCATTGTAATAACTTGGGTGTGTTCACCTCCCCCATCCTCCCCACTATGAGAGTGACACTGAATGCTGCCCAGGGTCTGTAGTTGTGAGATGAGGGACTGGAGATTTTGGACTCACTGTAGTTGAACTTGTTGGTCTGAGCCATCATGGGCACAGAGACAGTGCTGCCATCAGACTTGTGGAAGAGGCGGTGGTGGGTGCTGGACTCCGAGAAGGGAGTCTTCCACTGGCCATTGAAGTAGAGGGCATTCACCAGAATGAGGCGTGTCAGCTGGTCCACATCCCCTTTGGCAAGTAAGTCACTGATCATACCTAAGGGAAAGCGAGTCAGTCAAGAAATAAGATGATTTTTAAGCATCTCAGATGCTTGCCTTCTACTCCCTGTTCTCAAATGGATACAAAGAGCCGTTGGGAGTTGAGTGGATCTATTTGTTCTGAGTCTCGGGATATCTTTTAGCTCAATATTATCCCCCCACTGCTGATTTTCTTTCCTTCCCTCCCACCCCCTATAATACAGCCTAGTCCAGGACTCACTCAGAAGCCTAGGTTGGCCTTGAATCCATGGTAATCCTCCTGCTTTAGCTTCCCAAGAGCTGGGATAATAGGCATGAGTCACATCCCTGGCTTCATCACTTTTTTCTTGGCTCTGGGATCCAGCTCAGCACCAGAACTAGACACTTCTGCCTTCCCTCATTACACTTCTTTGGCCCCTAAGCTGTAATCTTGGAGGCCTGTGCACACGCTTGTAACAAGTACTGTTGTTCTTATTGTCAATGATGTCTTTCATGTTGGTTTTGCTTTTGTGCATTTAAAAAATATTATTATTGTATGGAGGAGAATATGAGGTGTGTGTGTGCACATGCATGCCAAGTGGGGGTCAGAGGGCAACTTATGCAGAGTTGGTTCATTCCTTTCACATTTCTGTGGCTTCCAGGAATCGAATTCAGGCCACCAGACTCCACAAGAGCCTTGGCCAGGGTGTGGTAGCCTTTAATCCCAGCATTCGTGAGGCAGAGACTGGTAGATCTCTGTGAGTTCCAGGCCAGCCTGGTCTACAGAGTTAGTTCCAGGACAGCTAGGGCTGTTACACAGAGAAACCCTGTTTTAAAACAAAACAAAACAAAAAACAAAAAACCAAGCCAAGACCCTTTACCCATGGAGCCATCTTGTTGATCCTAGTGGATTTTTTTCTTTTTTTGAGGGGATGTGTAGAGTAACTAGGTCTTCAGGTATGCTGTTCTACACCTGGCTGGAATTGGTTTCTCTCCCTATTGGGTTGTTTGTTTGTTTGTTTTGTTTTGACAAGATCTTGCTATGTGGTTCATAGTAACCCAAAACTCATTGATCATCCTACAGGGATGAGCCATTGGCCCCAGTTCTGAGTGGTCTATGAAAAAGCCTAACCAAGACAAATACAGTTTTGGGTTACAGCTCCAGTAAGGGGTTGGGGTGTGGCTCAGTGGTAGAGTAATTGCCCAGCATGCACGAGGCCCTGGCTTTTATCCTCGGCACCACAGGAAGAAAGGAAAAAGGCAAACGTTAGCTATCATACTCTGGTTCTTGAGGCATTTGCCTTTTATCCACAAAAGACAGAGATGAAAGGGAGAGTTGAGGATGGGTGAATTGACACAGAATTCCTCTCCCTACCACTAACCTTTGGTGTGCCTCTCCACCCAGTCATTGATGATGAATCTGGCTCTCTCCACCTCCGAGAAGTCCACCTGCTTCACCGTGGTCCGAAAGAGCTTGAAGAAGTGGGGCATGAAGCCCTGGACCAGCTCCAGGTCCCGCTGGACGAAGATGGCATTGGCAGTGCTAATCTCATTCTTGTTCCATGGCCCCGTGAGCTCCTTGGACAGCCGACGGAGGGCAGGAGCGGTCGTCTTCTCTGCAGAGGTACCAAGGCAGGATCCATTAGGCTCATGTTGAGCCAAGGGCTCTCATCTGGACCAGGGTGCCCAAGGAGGGCCTTACCCCTGTCCAGGTGGATGAGGCCCTTGCTTATCTCCAGCGGTTAGTGGAGGACAGTCTCTCCAAACTAACTTTTTTTCCCCTTTCGCTCCCTCTTTCTTGCCTTCTTTCCTCTTTCTTCCCTTTTTCCTTTTTTTCTTATTCAGTTTTTTGAACAGGTCTTACTGGGCACCTCGGGGTGTCTGTACACTGCTGTTTAGTTCAGGCTGGCTTTGAACTCACCTACCTCTGCCTCCTGAGTCCCGGGACTAAAGGTGTGTGACACTATGATGTCTCCCTCCCTCTTCCTTTCTTCTCCTCTCCCCACTCCTCCCTGAAAAGGGTTTCACACTTTAACCCAGCCTATATAGACTGGTTTGCTACTCGTTATATAGTCCTAGATGCCTTGGAAGCTAACAGAAATCCCCCTGCCTACACCTCCCTGTGCTGGGATTACAGGCATACATTACTACATTCAGCTCTCAAATTTTAACTCTTTTGTGTACCCATTCCCAAAGAGTCTCAGCTCCTAATATTTTCTTTACATTAGAACATTTTTCTCAATTCTTCTTTTTTTTTTAAGATTTGTTTATTATTCATACAGTGTTCTGTCTGCAGTGTGCCTGCAGGTCAGAAGAGGACACCATATCTCATTATACATGGTTGTGAACCACCATGTGAGTGCTGGGAATTGAACTCTTAACCACTGAGCTATCTCTCCAGCCCCTCAATTCTTAAATTAAAAACATTAGTTTGCTTCCGCTCCCGCCCCTTACCCTTGCAACTGCCCTCCTAATGACCTCACAAGTGCTGGGAACACAAGTATGAGCCACCTTGTTCGGCTTGTTCTTCTATTTGGTTTTGTGACAGGGTCTTGCTCTATATCCCAACCTGGAGTGGCGCTTGCGATGTAGCCCAGGCTGACCTTAAATTCATCATTCTCCTCCCTCCGACTCCCAAGGTCTGGGATTACATATATGTTCCACTACACCTAGTTAGGTTGCTAGGTTGCTAGTGTAATAATGGTATTATCAAATAATGTATGTTGACAATCCTATTACATATTTACTCAGCCCTGTGTGGTAAGCATTTTTCAATTGTTCCCTATTTTATATGTTTTAGGTCTCGTGTAATCCCTGCTGTTGCTGAACTCAATACAAAACTAAGTACGAGACTGATCCTCCTGCCTCCACTTTTCACGAACCGTGGTTACAGGTGTACACCACCATCTCCAGTTTCATTTGGTGCTGGGAACAGAACCCTGGGCTTTGTGCATGCTAAGCAAGCTATGTCCCCAGCGCCAAGGGGATATAAGCACAGTTTTTATGTTCTATATCTATTGGCTGGGTACATCATGGACAAGTCAAAGCCATCTGACTCAGAAGCTGGAGAGAAAATGGGTGGTCCCTGGTCTGCGGCTGGACATGATAGGACTTGGCAATGCTACAGCCAGCCTTCTCTACCTTCTCTGCTCTGGCTCCTACTTTTCAAGAACCTCCTGATTCACCTCCCACTCTGCCCCATCTCTCACCGTTGATTTTGAATCCCATAGCATCTTGAATCTGCTGCTGTGTTTTCCCTGCTGTGGTCAGCTGCAGCATGGCCAGCACCGAGGACACCCCATAGGGAGAGAAAACCACGTTCCGGTCCTTGGAGGCCTGGACCACATGCTTAAACACTTTTACTCCGAAGTCAGTGGCCTGATGGGCTGTGTGGGACTCTGGGAGATGTAAAGCAGACCCTTTCCCAAAGACCAGAACCAGGCCCAGGGTGAGGCAAGCTAGCGCTGAAGTCATCTTCATCCTAGGAAAAATGGAAGAGAATCTGATAAGGAGATGTTTCTGGAAGACTGCCCGGAGGGGAACATGGTGCCTCAGTCATGGACTAGGCACTCTGTTCGCCTCTAGCCTGTAAGAGATCAGCCTAGTAAGTTCATCTTCATTCAGATCCCATAATGCAATTGGATGATGAGCTCGTTCCCTTCTGCCACCAACCAATTCTTTTAATGTTTTCCAGACAGAGCCTTGTTATGTTACCCAGGTTGGTCTTGAACTCAGGATTGTCCTGTTTCAATTCTCCCCAGTGCTGGGATTACAAGCAGGCATTACTGGTATCATGAGCCATCCTCACTTTTTACCTGTGGAAATCTTAGAAAACACCCTGTGTATCTCTCTTCCCCTCTGAGGGACCTTTGGACAATGACAGATTTTGGTTCGCAAGTTTTTTTGTGGTTGTTCTCTTATCACAATTCCCTAACTACCGCTTTGCTCAAGTTAGCAGTATGAAAAAATTCTCTGGGGCCAGTAGGATTGCCCAGTGGGTAAAGGCACTTGCCATCAAGCTGGACGACCAGAGTTCTGGTCTTGGGACCCCCATGGTAGAGAGAAAGCTGACTCCTGAAAGTTGTCCTCTGATTTCCACACTTGAACTGTGACACAGGAATATACACACGCATACAGATATAAATGCAATTTTTAAATTTTTTTTTTTTTTTTTTTTTTTTTTTTTTTGGTAAGATTTCTTTGCTAAATTGAGAAAGGGGAGGCTTGCTAGAGAAGGACTTAGAGACAATGTCGTTGCTTCTGGGATCCAGGGTTAGGAGTGGGGTTTGACCATTTTTCTCAACCACCTGTAGTCCTGGTTGGGCTAGGGCGGACTCAAGGCTGCAGAGTTCCAGAATAGGGTGGAAGAAAACGGAGGGAAAATGAGGCTGACAGACAGAGACTTCTGAGAAGGTAAGTTCTCTTGGGTGACAGCAAACTTGCCTTTCTCCTACCTGGAGTTTTCAAAGGGGCCTTGTGATTGGCTCTTCGTCTTGCTTGTTGGCTGGTGCTCAGCTGTGGTTGGCTGTGTACTGCGGGAGGCGGGTATGCGGTGTTGCCTGTTCACAGGGCTCTCGGGCTCTGCAGCAGCCTGATCCAGCTGTGCTCTGTCTTGGATCTGCAGTCTCCCTTTATACCAGATGTGGGCAGGAAGTAGATGAACTCATGTTCCAGCCCCACCCACTTTCTAACTCTGGAAATGTCTGGGCTGCCCGCCCGCCCTACCCCCTCCGTCCCTCCCTTTTTCCCTCCCAGGGATTTGCTGGGACTTGTGTGTGTACGTGTGTGAAAGGGCTTGGGGGATAATTGAGCAAACCCTGGTTGCCTTGATGGGAACATCCCGGCCCGTTTGCCTTCGTCTGGTCTGTTGTCTCGACCCACGGTGGTACCACAGAGCTTAACAATGCTTGATGTTGGGACTCCTTGTTTCTCAGCGGCAGCAACAGCACCTTTTCCTTTGGAGAAACTCAACACATAGAAGCTATGAACCTTGTCGGTGCTGTCTGCCCCTTGTGCACTCTGGGCCTACCTCCAGGAAAAGTCGGCCTGACCTTCCCTTGGGTTTCTGCCCAGTGGCCAGAGGGCATGAAATGTGCCCTGTAATTGTCTGGGTTCTGGTTCCTCTTGGACTTGAGCCCAACAGAGAACTTCAGGTCTTCCCTCCATGTATCTGCCAGGCCTGCCCTGGAGCAGGGGCTGACTCCCCACATGGGGCCAGACTCCTGTGCCCCGAGGGCTGTCTTTCTGTCAATAGCCTGTATGGCTGGGTTTGGAGGTGTACTGGGTGGGGCGCTGGTGCTGAATTGGATGAGGTTTTACCACGGATGGAAATGGGTTACACAGAAAGCAAGGACCAGTGTGGAAGTTCTGCTCCTTGGAGCACCCTGAGATGACTGAGGGAGAAAGAGGTGGTATTTGCTGAAGATTTTTTTTTTTAACTCTTATTTTATATGCACTGATTTTTTTCCATGGGTGTCAGGTCCCCTGGAACTGGAGTTGCAGTTGTAAGCTGACATGTGGGTGCTGGGAATTGAACCTGGGTCTTCTGGAAGAGCAGTCAGTGCTCTTAACCACTGAGCCATCTCTCCAGCCCGCTAAGATTTTGTTTTTATCATTTATTTGTTTGTTTGTTTATTGAGATAGAGTCTCATTATGTAGGCCTGGCTGGCCTGGAATTTAATCTGGAGCTCTGGCTGGCTCCCGCCACATCCAGCTTTGGTCTTAAATTTTAATTACGTGTGTGTGTGTGTGTGTGTTTGAGGGTATGTACCTGTGATAGACGTGTCCGGTTCCCTGAAGCCGGAGCTACCGGCAGTTGTTCACTGATGGTTGTGGGCATTGGGAGCAGCACTTAGGTCCTCTACAGGAACAGTATGTACTCTTAAGGGCTGAGCCATCTCTCCGGACCCCAGAAGTTTTCTTCTCCTCTGGGTGTAGACACTGGCTGGCTGGAGCCACAGGACCAGGGGTAGAAAGAAACAACATATATCATGGTGGTGTGTTTTGTTCTTAAACCTTCGTGGTCCCGGGGAGGAAGAACGGTTGAGGAGCCTGTATTTGCTTGTTTGTGTATTTATTTACTTATGACAATTTCATGAGCATGCAGGCCAGGCAAGCCTCGAACTGATTATATACCTCAGGATACCAGAGATCCAGATCCTCCGCCCCACCACACCAGGTTTGTGCAGGACTGGGGCTTGAACCCGTGACTTTGGTCTTGTTAGGCAAACTACCAACAGAACCACGTTCCCAGCCTGACAATTCCTTTAGGGAGTGAACCTTAGCACAGCACACAAGAGGACGAGGCTGCGGCCTTCCAAGGTTGGGCAGACGCAAACACCCTTTGTAACCCTAGACACGGTCTAGAAAAGGCCAAGGTGGTCCCATGGTGGGAGCGGGGAGAAGGCACTCGGCCTTGGGGCTCACATGCTATCATCTTTGGTACAGGTGATGGGGTTCACTTGGCAGTATCCATGGAGACAGCTGGCTGGCGAGTCATAGGAAGTTTAAGTGGGTGGTAAGCAGGGCTGTTTGTTTTGGATTAGCAGTAAACAGATACCAGGGCAACCAGCCCTGCTGAGTTTTCTCACAGCGACCCTGTCAGGTGGGGGAGGGAGGGTTGAGGAAAGAGGGGAAACCTCAGTTGGAAACTTAGGCTCACAGGCCCAGCAGAGAGGCACTCGGGCCCATCTGCTGCTTGTGTTTGTTTTGTTTTGTTTTTTTCCCTTTTCTCATCTGTGGCTTGGAAGCCCTGAGTGAAGCTGCTCGGCTGGAGGGAGAGGCGGATGTTCTTGGCCATTTCAGAACAAGAAGACACAGCTCAGACCCATCCTCATCTCTCGCCAGTAGGCACAACTCCAGATGCCACGCCCTCCATTCTTAGTGGTCAGAGGGACCTCGAACCTGGGTGTCCCCAAGGGTTCAGAAGATGCAGGGTTGGATGCAGCTGGAAGTGGGCTGCCTTGGGCGCTCTAGCTGGGAAACTGAGGCACCTCCATTCTCAGACTTTCTCCTGGGTCTTCTCCCCCACCCCACCCTGTGGCATGGTGGGCTCTGCCAGGGTGAAAGCAATTTCCTCTTGACTTGGAGGTCTGATACTCTGTTCGGGGCTCTGTAGCTGGATAACGGCTCTGCATCCTTCCTGGGGTTGGGGAGGGATGGGGGAACATCCCTTTTCCTTGGAAATGGAAAGCTTTGGGTCTCTTTTTTCATCCTCTCTTTTTCTAGAGATAGGGTCATGTTATCTAAGCCCTAGTACTCTGGAACGTACTGTATGTACGAGGCTGGCTACAAACTCATGGCAGTCCCCTGCCTGCCTCTGCCTCCTTAGTGCTGGAATAATAGGCATGGGTTTGGTTTGGTTTGGTTTTGGTTTTGAGTCAGGCTCTCACTGTATAGCCCAGGCTGGCATTGAATTCACAATCCTCTTGCCTTGGTGTCCCAAGTGCTGGGATGACAGATGTGACGAATGTGCCACCATGGTCAAAATCCTAAAGAAATCTCTAAGCTAGAGGAAACCTATGGGCGTCTAGTGGGTAGGTTTTAGAAATGGAGCCAGTGGGCCTATGAGATGGCTCACTGGGTGGAAGTGATTGCAGCCAGGTTTGACTACATGAGTTCAGTACCTGGGACCCAGATGATGGAAGGAACAAACTGAGCCCCACTTGTACTCTGTTTCACACATGTTTCTACCCGTGGACACACATAGATACACAAATAATAACTAGATTTTAAAAATGTAGAAACAGAGGCACAGACTAGCAGAACAAGGCCTCTGTTTCTAGATGGCCTGGAACCCAGACTTGGCCATGGTCCCTGTACCTCCTCTTCACCCCTGTGACCTTCTCTATCCTTGGACGTGGAGGGGAGAGCTAGTTTTCCACACATAGGATGCAACTTCCCGAGGGCTTCCTGGAGGAGGGGGTATTGTCTTACCCCCCAAGCCCTCTTTGGGAAACCCTTCTCAGAATCTAACCTGAGTCACAGACTTGTGTCACTTTCTCTTTTTCTTTCCCTCTAGAACCCCAAAACCACTTTGACCTCATCATCTAACTTTTGACCCTTTGGTAAGTGTGGGGGAGGGGAGGGACAGAGCAGACAGAAAGAGAAAAGTCCTTGCTGTTGAAATCACTCAGCCCTTGATTTCCCGGGGATCAGAGATAAGAGGGAGCGTTACGTGGGGCTGTGGATTTCTGGGAAAGTTCCAGGAACAACTAGCCAGGAAGATGGCTCCATCTGGTCCCTCTGCAGATGGTTTGTAACTGGAGGGGATTCATATTTTCCATGACTGTTCGTACCCCACTCCCACCCCTGCAGTCTCTCACAGAGCAGTAGGCTCCCACTGGGGTCTTGCGAGTCATGGTCCTTCTTGCTCCCTGGTTTTAACGTGTGTGTGTGTGTGTGTGTGTGTGTGTGAGAGAGAGAGAGAGAGAGAGAGAGAGAGCTCGAGAGAGAGCGGGCAAATGTGCAGGTCACAGGACAATGTTTAGTAGTCAGTTCTCCCACAGGGATCAAACTGACAGAGCCGGGCCTGTACTTGCTGAGCTGTCTCCTGGGGACGGCTCTTGCCCTTCCCCTTTGCACCTCTGGTTCCCCCTGAGACGTGGTATCCCTCAGTCGCCACTGCCGCCGCTGTGTCCCCCCCCCCCCCCCCCGCGTCACTGAAGATAAAGCTGCTCTCACTTCCTCTTCTAGTTTTGCCTCCTGCACTCGTCGTCCTGTCTCTCAGAGGGGATGGTTCTCTTCTCTTCTGTTGTCTGACTCAACCCCTCTTTCCTTTTCTTCTGCCTCCTGGAATCCCTTTTACAGTCACTCGGGCTCTGGAACCTCTTCCTCTGGGAAGGAGGTTTGGCCTCTTGTCGTTACACAGGCTCTTTGGAATGCTGGGTCCGGCCCCCCATGCCTGGTGATTTCACTGGGAGAGCTGGGGGTGGGAGAAGACAAAATCCCCCCACTGACTCTAACTCACTGCACTATTTCTGGCCTGGTGGCTCTCCAAACAACACAGTTCTGAAAATAGCCCGTGTTTGGGGCTGGGCTGTATCTGCCCTTTCTAGGAGTGAGCTGGGTGGAGTGGTCAGTGCCTTGGCTTCTGTTCACTGGGTACCATGGCCCCCTGGTCTCTCTTCCCTTCCCTAACCCATGGCCAGCCGTTGTCCTTAAACTTTCAGATTAAATTCAGACTTGCTCTGGATCCCCACAATGTAGTCCATACTTAAATGGTGTGTGTGTGTGTGTGTGTGTGTGTGCGCGCACACACACACACATCAAACTCTGATAGCCTCCGATACACACACACACACACACACACACACACACACACACACGCACGCACGCACGGACGTGGGCGCGCACATGTGTGCATGTTTCAAAATTTGAGGGCCATAAAAATTAATTGACTCAGAGAGGCTGAGATATGAATTTTGGTCACAAAGAAATTGCTCTATAAATGGAAGGATGGTAGTCATGGTCAAATAGACCCTGCCTCTAGGCAGGGACCTGACGCTGTTGACTGAGGGCTGTAAGGATTACTGAATTCAGAGAGGTGGAGAGATGAGCTATAGTCACACAGCAACTGT